TCCAGAGTTTTCTGGTTATCACTGTATATAATTTTCCAGAGTTTTCTGGTTATCACTGTATATAATTTTCCAGAATTTTCTGGTTATCACTGTTTATAATTTTCCAGAGTTTTCTGGTTATCACTGTATATAATTTTCGATATCTTTTGAGCCGTAACTTTTAAAAACGAACGTTGTTTGTGACTTCAACAGATTTATATTTCGACAACTTATTAAAAATACATTTAAGTAAAATTTTAAGGTTTCAAATAAGAAAATTGCGAAAAAAAATTCCGATTTTTTTTCGATGATCTTTAAGCATAATGAAAAAAGGTCATTTCAATGACTTAAAGTTTAAATGTTTTATTTTAAAAAATCAAAAAATTAAGCGGTATTTTTTTGTATTCCTTCACTGTAGCGTCCCTGGTTCTATTGGTGCTCAATCATATTCCCAGAATTAGCACATCTGATAGCGCAGCGCAGTGCACTATTTCTAAATTGAGCACCTATTCCTTTGGATAGATTATACATTCCAAAGAATGTTATAGACACAGATTTTCTTTCTAAATAGTTGAACATATTTAAAATTTTTGAACATTCATTTAGTTATCAATAATGCTATAGCCATTGCATTGCAGGCGCGCCTGTATGAATACTAATAGTGTATACCTCTGTACCGTGTACGTATGGTAGGGGTCACGAAAATCGATAATAGATTAGACTAAAAACTTTAAAATAAATTAGACAAAACAGAGGAAAGTTAAGGTTAGCATTGAACCTAATCGATCAATCAATATATATACTGGGTTACCCACAAAGGATAAGACTGTAAAGACGACCCAAAACACTAAAAATATGACAATCTAAAGTTTGATTTTTGGTTTCTACATTTAGTGAAGTATTTTGATAGTTTACAAAATCATTAAGAACAGAAATTTGTCAGTTTGTGCCTACAAGGAACCCTGAATGCATTAAGAAAACTGACAAATAAACAGATTCCGTATAATCTTCTCATCCTGTATGGGTAACCCTGTATATTGTATAGATCTATATATTTTATCTATTTATATATTTATATAGATTGCTGCTGATGTTTCAAATATAAAAATGAATTGATTGCTTATGAAAACCGGCGAGATATTGCATTTAATCAATTCAGATTTCACTAGATCAAGATCAGAGAGATCAGAGAAGATCGAAATATGATTTATATCAGATAAATTCAATCATCAAGCGAGCTTAAACCTATTATGCCCACCCCAAAAAAAATCCTATAGTTGCACCTTAAAGATTGGAGTGAAACATAAAATTTTAATTACAAACCTGAATGTAGCTTATTTCCTGGTTGGTAATATTAGTATAGAATAATATTACCCATTAAAGGGACTGTAAGCCTAATTTCAAGTGACCCTTCCTAACCAAAGATGACAATGCCCGATTTACAACGGTACCCTTGAACACTTTGTCTCATAAAATATGAATAAGATATCAAAGTTTTTGTTTCTTTTAATGGTTTTTTTTTCATTTGCGGTTTCTCTGTTATTGGCATCTTTACAGGGTGTGTGTCTTGAAATTACGCTTGCATTCCCTTTATGAATAAGAATTGACGACTGTGAATCACAAGAATTCAGATCAGGAGCTGGTCAATTATGTACACTAAGCAATGGACGTTCTATTGAACTATCTACACCTTGTGATATTTGATATCTAAATAATATATCTGATATATTCATTTATAAAAGATGAATGGAAGGAAAACAGATGTAGATAGATAGATAGATAGATATTCTAAATATAATACTGATATAGATATAATCAATGATTTATAGATAATTAGATTGAAGGATAGATAGATAGATATTCTAATACTGATATAGGTATATCAATATAAAAGGTTGAGGATTGAGGATAAGGATAGATAGATATGATAGATATTTTAATAAAAGATCGGGCAAATGCTCACATTATTTTAGATACATTGAGAACCAGAAACCTGTGAAATAGTCGACATTAATTATAGTAATACTTCAGTGTATTCAATTGTTTAACTTTAAGACTTATTAAATTAAATGGCTCTGTTTACACTGCATAATTTTTGTGTCCCATGTTCATTGGGCCAGTCGTCTTCTTTAGACTATAAAGTCGTCTTCTAGTTCCAGAGTTTTCTAATTATTGCACAGTTTACTTCTTGGTAAAGGAAATGTTGATTGGTTTGTTACTCAAAGCAACTAAATCATGTGACCAGGGACCGAATATAATGAGTTAAGCCAGTTATTATAGTCCAATATATTAGTGTGGCAAAAAGCGCATAAAACATGATTCTGTAAACTTGCAGTACGTTGTACATTATAAATGTTATTATTCATTGAAACTGCGTTTCAATCAAATACTTGACATGATTAGCTTAAATCATGCGACATACTTAAATTACAATATAAATCATGGGCAGAGATAGATTTACTGCGTTATATCTAATCTCTTTAATCCTTTAAATTTGTACCTTAAACTTTAACTAAGCAGTAAATACGTAAACCAATGGTCTTAATCATGGGATATCAATAACATCGTAGGAATCTAATTGCGTCAATTCTTGTAATAATAGTTGATTGAGACTCGGCTTTTGATTACGTTATCAAAAGCATAGTAAGCTTGAAATAAGCTTTGGTTCTTGTTGAAACAAGTTGCTAGTTAATTTAACATTGAATCAAATATAGCTTGAAAGATAGCTTGGGTTCTCTTTGAAAAATACAAGCGTAGATCTTGCCTAGATAATTGGCAATTGAATCCGCAACTCTTACACCACGTCCAGCATTGTCTCCAATATCAAGTATTTGACTTTTACATCCACCAAAAGCCTTTTTTTCTCGAAAATTCTTAACATGATCAAAAAGCTTTTAATAATAAATAAACAGTTTGTCTTAATAAGCCAACTCTAATTGAGATTAAGACTTCTAAATTTCACAAATTTTTTAACTCGAGCATAACTATTGCAACTATTTTGATTGGCTAGTAGGTCATTCTGCGAATCAGGAGGCTCCGGAGGTTGAAGTTCGCGGGGCTCATGGTTGCTCTGAGCCCCCTCCCTGATAGTGTAAGTATTAAATAATTATTTATTTGATAAAATGAAAAAATCGGACTTAAGGTTACAGGAAACCACATAGATCCAGACTAATAAGAAAAGTTGCACTGAGACCGGGTTGACTTAAAAGTGCTGCCACGCTTTGATTTTTATTCTATATCACTATTTCACTTACAATTTTTTGTAGCCCTAAACATTTACATTTTGGATCTGTCAAGAAATTGTTCTTTGGATGCAATCAACAAACTTCAGATCCGAGTGGAACCTTGGACTTAAGGGAAAAAACTGAAAAAATCCGTACAGTCGTCTCTAAGTCTCATCTTTTATGGGCACGCCTGTATATTAAATCGAAACAGCATTTAACCCTAAATTAGAAGGTTAACTATAGTTCACTAGGTGTGATTTACTGCAATAAATTATCCAACGCATTCATAAATCTTTCAAGACCATATCTAACTCTATTTAGACTTAGCACAATTTGAAGGGAGTGGCTGGCTAGGTATGGTAGTTGAACTAGGAGTACATGTAGAAAAAATATTGTGAGAATTCATTTTAAAAGTTTACAGAATTATCTCTCCTCCTAATTTTTAGAAAATGAATTTTCGGGTCTTTTGTATAAGTAAAGAACGTAATTTAGTATCAATATTAGTCTCTTTAATACTGACTCCCAGTTCAACTATCATCCCTAGCCAATCACTCCCTTTAAAAAAAAACTAAGCGGATTATGGTGTATTTAAGGGTATATAAACGTAATTTAAAATTTTGGCAATGCCCGATTCACGACGGTACACTTGCAACCATTAGCTGATTTTAAGTATTGACAAATTGTCGTTTTCCTAGGATTAATATTAAATTCTGATAATTCTTATGTGCTTTCCTGCAGTAGAAATGAGCAAGTCACTTGGGGAAGAGTAACCACAATTCAAAATAATCATTTCTTGGATTTGTAATTATTTTAATCTAATTCATACTTGGTCAGACAAAGCTTTTAAGGGTACTGCTGTGAATCGGACATTCCCATCATTTTAAAGTACCTTGAAGAGCTTTCCAAATTGGAGATTAGCTTGAAGGCTTTAATGGTTCTTCTTTTCATTTTAATCGGCCATGTAACTCTTTATTTGAAGAGTATTTAAGAAATTGAAGTCTGGACAATGAATACATCAATCTTGAATTGACAGGATTAAAAAGTTCGTAACGCTGATTGATTTTTCTGTAAAGCATTTTATTACTTCCTCTCTTTTCAAATGCAAATTTGTTAAAAGTCTTACTTTAATAAAACTTCAGAACTGACATATGTCCACTGTACAATTTTAAGAATTACAATCGAATGAGTTTTGAAGAATTGTAAGACAATTAGAAAAAAGGCAAGTTTTTTATCCTCCTTGATACTATTCCACAATATTTCACAATTGAAAGAAAAAACCTTACTTTCTTTTAAAATGCGTGTTCTTAGAATAAAAAAGGCACAACATGTAATAATGAATCGAACGGACCTTTTAAAGATTCAGAGCAAGAAATTAATAAACTGACTTTTATGCTTATTTAGACATTAATTGAGGGAGGGAGGGGGTTGGTGTGCTACAGTTAAAAGGGTCTGTCTGCTTAATTTATAAACGACTCTTCATTTTACGAGTTGCATACTCGATGTACTACGGTACCTTTGAATCAATGAGTTATCCTTGTTTTGGCATATGAAAATAGATTTATTTCAAACATGACTAGCGGGTTCATTCAGAAATAACAGTTCTAATTTTAAAATAAAGGAAACCATTGTGAATAGGCCATGCAACAAAACTGATGAAAACAGTTAGTTTTTTTAAAGCAAAAAATGTTAATTGAGAATATCAATATGCAGATGTGAAAAACAACGAATCTCAAAGTTGCCCTTTATTCCTATTTATTTTGGGGTTCTCTGTATCTATTAATTATAACTAACCAAATATAAATTTTCTAGTTTATTTTTCTTCAGAATGAATAATAAGTGAGTTAACTACTAACTACAGTTTACAATATTTATCACATAAAATTAATCTATGACAACATTGATCAAATCATCAGAACTCAAATCTTTCGCTCATGCCTCTGAGACGAGTTTTTAAACTCAGCTTAATTCTAGAAAACTGGACTTAAGCTGATCTCAAAATTTAGAGTATTCTAAATCTAAGCTAAGAAAACTCAACTCTGAAAATTGTCAAATCCAGAAAATAAAACTTGAAATTTATAAGTCAAGTTTAAGATCTGATCTCTGTCTCAGCGGCCTAAGTTAGACTTAGATTTCTGACGAAAAGAATTATTTTTCTTTATTTGCAAACTTTTCATCCAGCTTCTGATATCCTTCTGTTTGTAGTTTTACTTTAAACTTCTCATAATGATATTTCCTGTCAAAGTGCGTCACCCAGGACTAAAATTAAAACCAATTTAAAGGGACTGTTATTGTAAGTTCAGGTGACCCTCCATTTAAAAGGGCCAGGCTCTAGTCACAACGGTACGGGTTACGCTTTGATCAATAATGGGAACAATTTCATAATTTTTTTCTGCATTGAGAAACCACAAGTCACTATCAGAGAAACCAAAAATTGTAAAAAATAGCCAATTATTGATAGGGAAATTATGGATATCTCATTTAATTCTTAATCAAACAAAGCAAATAGCACCGTTGTGAATCGCAAATGCCACTTTATAAATGGAGGATCACTTCAAATTACGCCTCGAGTCCCTTTATCATTTTTTTTCTATTTTCAGTATTTTTAATATTTTCTTACTAAACCTAGGTCTATGAGCATGTAAGAACTTTGAAAGGGGAGGTCATGTAAATCTGGTCATCTGGTATTGACCACATGGAAAACAAAATGAGCCGTAAATTTACAAAGCCCCGGGTAAAATTAAAATTATTTACCGAGGCATGAATTTTCAGGCTTTAGAAACATTTTACACCCTAATGAATATTCAAGTGCATAAAAAGTGAATTTAATTAACGGGACCGTTCACTTATTTGGATATTTAGGCAGTTTAGTTTTACCCTGAAATTACATAAATAAGTGAACGGTCCCTTTGAGTTATCAAAATTATTTTTCATTCTTCTGACCTGAGGACACAATTTTTCATAAAGATTTCTAGCTTCCCTACACGCACTTTCAGGATTCTCCCCTCCAGCCTAAACACAACTAACTGATAAGTATTGTCATCTACATATAAATTTAGCTTGGGTGTCTGTTTGTTTGTTTGTATTCAATAAACGTCAAAACGACTAAACCGATCAGGCCCAAATTTTGTGTGGGACCTCACGTGACCACAGGGAAGGTTTATGAATGATAAAAATTTTATAAGTTAGTGTCTACAAGTTTTTTATTTTTGTAAAATTTTAAAAATGTGCGAAAAAATATTATGAAATCCGCGAACTTTTTTTTTTTATTTTTAAACTGTACAAAGAGAAGATGCTCGCAGATAAAGCCACAATTAAAAGTTTAAATAGTAGATGGGCGCGAAGCGCCCTAAAAGTCTAGTCTATACAAATATTGCTTGTCTGGGTGTTTGTATCCAATAAACGTAAAAACGACCTAACCAATAAGCTCAATTTTTTTTAGGTAACTCACATGACCCCCATGAGTCTTTACATTTATTTTTTGTATAACTGTTGTATTATTAAATCCGCGATTTTTTGTTGTTATTGTGTAGTATTGTTTAAAACGAAGATGCTCACAGAAAGCCAAAATTAAAATTTGAAATAGAAGATGAAGCGCCTTAAAAGCCTAGTTTATTTATATTATACATTCCTCAAAAAGTATTCATCATTCATTATGCCTGGTACATTCGACATCACGAAATGTAGCCCTCCAGTTGAATATTGCCATCAAAGTCAAACCCATATCTATCTTTTGATAATGACAATTTCTCAAATGAAAGAAAATCCCTATTCACGCACCTCTGACCCTTTAGTAAAAGTAAATTCAACCTTAAGTCTGACCGCGTCAACCTTGTTGCACCGGCTAGTCCTATTAAGTGCCAGCGTTATTCACCCATGACCCAATGTCCTGGCGATACAGTACGAACAGGGACTGAAAGATTGACCCGGCTCGGAAATTCAAATGTACTACGGCTGCCCGTGTATATTGTTCTTTTTTTATGTAAGTGTCGTAAAATGTTCTTTACCTTGTCCAGGCAAGCCCAAAACTGGTCCTAACACATCATCATAAAATTATTTTTATTCCAAATTCAAAAGGTTTTGAAATGTTCAGTGGAAAATATTAATATTTGGTTTATCTGAATAAATATTTCAAATTAGAGCCAAACCAAAACCTAAAGCAAAAAGCCAAAAGAAAAAGTTTAAAGTAAGAGCCAAGATCTTAAAGATAAGAACTGTAAGCTGGGAGCTAAGGATCTAAGATGAAGGCTATGCGTAGGTTGGCTGTGCGTGGGGGGGGGGGGGTAGGGGGGTGAAAATAAATAAATGTTATTCCTTGGCATCCCAGCAGGCTGCTCTCTCCGCCTTCTTCAGGAACTTTTCCTTCTCTTTCTCCGGCATTATCAAACCAGTTGCTAAACCCTTAATTAAAAAGAAATAATAAAAATATTTTTGTTCTGAAATCTTACTTTGTAGGGCACCAAAAGATTCGTTCCCAACTTTCACTTCCTTGTTTTACAAAATCTAAGGTTTTTTTTTACAATTTCAAAATACTTGAGGCTAAATCATAATTGTATTGTTTTTTATTTATAAATAATTTTTTTGTAAAGCAATTAGTGAATCTGAAGCGGGAACTCTAGTATTAGGGATATCGAGATGAATGCTTGATCTCAATCTTGTATTAATCTGCAGATTAATTTAATCTTAGTTTGATATCCCCTGAATAGTATTCTCTGGGAAATATGAACAACCAATCAGAAGATTTTGTGATAAACCAATGAAGAAACATAGAAATTTTGGATATCCAAAATCAAGTGATCAAGCTGATACTGCGTAAAATTCAAAAGTGTCCAATGTGGAACTCGAGATCAACCGATCGGAATTCTGGGTATCCAAAACAATAGTTACCACCTCTAATAGTATTCCTTAAACTAGTATTTTCTTACCACAAGATATTTAAAAAGAGACGACTTTTGAGACCAGTAATTCGCCGATTTAGAACTGAGAACTAGCAATAGCACATTGTTCTGAAAAAAATATAAAATTTAACTCGCCAGAGCCTTGGCTATGAATTTCTTCTTTAGGTCTAGTTTGCTTAGTTTCTCCTTCTTGACTGTAGTTCCTGTTGTAACACCTTGGAACGCTTTCCCCTTCTCTTTCTTCTCTTTCTTTTCTCTCTTCTCCCCCTCCGGCCTACTCTTGGTCATCAGCTTGTTCTTCTTGTCCGCAAACTTCTTGCTGAAGGTTACCTTAGACTCGTCCACCTTACTCGGCCGGGTGTTCACACTCGGCGTTAACATACTCGTCTTCGGTTTTCGAACAGATCGGTTTACGCGGATTTTTCTGCCACACACCTGAACAATAACCTCTTGATTTCTTAATAAAAATTTAGAATTTATTATTATTATTTTTAACAATTAAGCTACAGTGAAAGTTTCATGTACTGTAGGCTAAGTTACGTTGAGCTCCAGGGTCGAGCTCCACCCCCGTACCCTTGTCTGTTCGGGCTTAGTGGAGCCCAAGATATTCCCAAATCATAAATTAAAACTACACCCACTTGATTTCCCCATTTCCCTGAGTCGAAAATATTATTATTTGAAAATTTTTGGTTTTAAATAGATTAATTATAATTTTTTTTGCAATTCAAAATTAAGTTTACCATGTTTCCATCCAGTCTGAGGGCTGTCTCTACACTGTCTTTGGAAGCAAAATTAACATATCCAAATCCTTTTCCTATTCCTGTAGCACTATCCCGTACTAATCTGAACAATAAACATTAGGGTATCACACTTTCACAACAAATTAACATATCCAAATTCTTTTCCTATTCCTCTAGCACTATCCCGTACTAATCTGAACAATAAACATTAGGGTATCACACTTTCACAACAAATTAACATATCCAAATTCTTTTCCTATTCCTCTAGCACTATCCCGTACTAATCTGAACAATAAACATTAGGGTTTCACACTTTCACAACAAGTTTAAATTTTTAATTTAATAGTATTCCCCATAAGCACAAAAATACAATAAAAATTGTATGTTGAATCCATATTTAAGCTTTATTTAAATCTTGAAAATTTTACTGTATCATTGTGAAAAAAGTTTTTTTTAAATCAAAAAGGTTAACGCCATTCTAAAGATCTTGAAGAGGGACAATATCTATTTAAGTCGTTCACTTTTTGCTCTGAGCTGAGAACTTTTGAATGGTGGATATCGGGATTAATGTTTGATCCACTCTTTTTCTTAATCTCGAGATTAAATAATGATTGTTCTTCTCTTGTTATTAGTCTCCAGATTATTTAACCGATCGGGATTAAGTATATTCTATTCTAAAGGTTTCAACTCTGATTATATATTTGATTATAAATATTAATAACTAAATGAAAGATTTTTACCGTACATCCGTAATTTCTCCACATCGAACAAATGCAGCCCTAAAATTTCATTTTCTTTTTATCAATTTGTTTGACAAATATCTATTTATGCAGTTGCCTTGTGTTACAGTCGTCGTCGTATATTTCAATACAATGAAATCGACTTTCGCTTTCAATATTTGATTTCTATCAAGCTTTCAACCAGCATATATAGACATAAACGAGGAAATAAAGAGAAGCTGTAGATTAACAGCTTATCTTTATTTAGATTTAACCTAGTAATTGGGAAAAAGCTTGAATGAAATTAAAACTTAAGTGGAGAAGTTGTCTTTATTGTATTGATATAAATACCGACCAGTGTATCATGTGGGACCAATTGGCTTCTGAGTACATTTTATATATTTGGTTTACTAAAGGTTTACAAAACTTAAATTCAAAAAGAAAGCAAAAAGAACAAAAAGTAAAAATAAGAAAAAAAACATATTTTCCCAAATAAAAACAGAATACGAATGGATATAAAATTATTCAATTGATTTTTTATTCATGAGAATCCTTAAAGTATAAAAGGAATTAATACCGCTTTGTTGGTATAAAATGTTACTTATTTGCCTCGGAACAAAAAAGAAACTTTCTATACCCAAGATCATGAAATTGTGAGTGAAAATGCGGGATAAAAATTATCATAAAATTGAATAAATTACCTTAAATCATCTTCATGAGTTTTGAAGTCGAGATTTCCAACAAATATTGCTTTATTCTGTTCATGAACCTTATTGTTCAAGGACATATCAACTCTACAACATTAAAACAATATTTAACAAATATTGCTTTATTCTGTTCATGAACCTTATTGTTCAAGGACATGTCAACTCTACAACATTAAAACAATATTAAACAAATATTGCTTTATTCTGTTCATGAACCTTATTGTTCAAGGACATGTCAACTCTACAACATTAAAACAATATTAAACAAATATTGCTCTATTCTGTTCATGAACCTTATTGTTCAAGGACATGTCAACTCTACAACATTAAAACAATATTAAACAAATATTGCTCTATTCTGTTCATGAACCTTATTGTTCAGGGACATGTCAACTCTACAACATTAAAACAATATTAAACAAATATTGCTCTATTCTGTTCATGAACCTTATTGTTCAGGGACATGTCAACTCTACAGCATTAAAACAATATCAAACAAATATTGCTCTATTCTGTTCATGAACCTTGCTGTTCAGATACATATCAACTCTACAACATTATAACAATATTAAAGGGAATGTTTTCAAAGAAAAGAGTTTAAAGGGATCATAAGCGTTATTTAAATGCCCCTTTATTTCTTTTTACCATCAATAATCTGTGAGACAATATTAAGACATTTACTTAATTTTCAGTCCCAAAGAAATCAAGGAAGGTGTCATCAGTCTTTAATTTAATTTTTAATGAGGAACATTGTTGGGAACTGGTTTAAATTATTGATCACCCTCGTTAAATTCATGATTATTAAACTGATATTCACTTTCGTCATGAAATGGAAACGGAATAAAAAAATTATCATCGAAAATTTAAAGAAAAGTATTAGTCATAGACAGAAAGACCCGGTTTTAATTGACGATTTATGAAACGATTTTACATTTATCTCCGAAAATTTAAAACGCACAATAAAGGCAGACCACATATTTCAAATGGTAGGACTAGAGCTATTTTGTTAATATCGTTACACTAATAATAGTTGCAAAATTAGATTGTAAAGTAAAGTCGTCTGATTAATTATAAACTGATTCCAGGTCCTTCTGACTGTACAAAGGTGAATGAATACAATCATATATGTGTATAAATAAGAAAACTAATTAAAAAAATGTAAGGGGTAAAAAACAAATGCATGAATTTAAAATGATGACTAAATGAGTAAATGAATAGACCTGATTGAATGACCATGTATTTTTGTAGAATTTAAACTGCAACTTTTTACTGCATCTTCTTCTGAGGCAAATCTAAAATCAAAATGAGATTGATCACAGAAAACTAAATTAAATTCATTTTAGATTTCACACTTTAAATGAATTTTTTAAAAGTTCACTGAAGTAGGGAAAATAAATGACTTTTGTGGAAAAAATAACAATAAAGGGAGATGGACATCCGGGAGGGGNATCTTTAAAATATATAAACTACTTATAAAAGAATTTAACAAAAAATAATTTTGACCTGACATATGCATTGATATTTTTCCTTTCATCGTGGAAGGTCTGTTTGATAACTGCTACCTAATTATTCAACATCAACATCAACATCAACATCAACATCAACATCAACATCAACATCAACATCAACATCAACATCAACATCATCAATTTTTTCCATTAGAATACCTTTTTAGTTGTTTTTAGATCAGGCCTTGCAGCACTTCTGAAACGAACACTTTCAACTTTACCAAACTCCTAAAAAAGCATTTAATTCGTCACAGTTGTAAAGTTTATAAGAATCTGTAGACTCTCCGTTTAGAGAATGACATAAACGATTCATAGCGGTACCCTTGAAAGCTTGTCCGAAATAATCAAAATCCACATATTCTCCTTGACAAATCAATTACTTTTAATTGTTGGGTCTCTATAAAATGACTAGAAATGTATGTGTATTTCAGCTTTAGAAAACAATAAGCATTTTTCAGAAACTAACACTCTTTTACATCATTGATCAGATACAGGTTTAAAGGGTATTACCGTTATAATTCAGGAATACCCTTCATTATATGAAAGGTCTCTAGAAATTACTACACAGTCCCTTTAAAATATAAATTTTTATTTTGATGAAATATTTCCTTACCTGGAACATTCTTTTGATTTCTTTCTCTTTAAGACTCGAAGGAAGGTTTCCCACGAATATCGTTCTCTTCTCCTTCTCCGGATCCAAGAGTTTAAAATGTTCATCTTCGCGTCGAATAGCCTCAATATGTCGTGGGTTTGTGCCCGACTCAGTCACCATGTCGACATTTGAAGCTTCAGCGTTCAGTTTACGTTTCTTGGATCGGTCGGTGAGCGCACTTTCTTTCGCAGCTTCGTTTTCTAATGCTTTTCGTTTCTTTTTCTCCATCTTCTTCAGCTTTCGCAGTCTCTGTAGAATTACATTCATAAAACAAAGTTGACGAAGTCATTCTAAAAGAGATAACAAATTTTCCCGGTAAATCTCCCATTGATTTAAGAATAAAGTTCTATAATTTTAACAATTATTCCTTCATTTTAATCTGTCTCTACACTTCTCTATACAATAAAGCTAATAACTCATTTTATATATTCGCTATAGCTGAACAAACGGATGGAGCAAATTGGCTGACATTTTATTGAGAAAACCCCTGTGCACCCCGGGGGTGACATAGACTAAATTTGAATTTGAATTTTTTGAAATTATACGGGCAACGCCAGACACACTAACAAAAATCATAATCTAAGACCAAGCGCGGGTAAACAGCGGAAGAAATTATGAGTAATCAAGGTAACGCCGGACACTTCAGCTCCTTCAGCTAGTATTTGAAATCATTATTTGTTGCTGTTTGTTTTCAACATTTTTAATCTATTTCTTACCTGTCTTTCTCCTTCTTCGTCATCTTCGTCAACTTTTCTTCTCTCGCCTGTAACTTCTGTTCTGGCTGGAACCTGATTTTAAACATTCAAATACAGGGTTACGCACAAAGGATGAGAATGTAAAGACAACCCCAAACTCTAAAATATTACGCTGTGAATGTAAAATTTTGGTTTCTGCATTCACTAAATAAGTGAACACAGTTTTGGCCTACAAGGAACCCTAAATGCAAGAAAACGAACTGAAAATATTTGAACAAACGTTTCTAAGTCTGAAGTTTCATCCTTTGTGGGTAACCATTGGCCTGAAATAATTACTTAACTACAAATTAATTGCAAAAAAAAGTTTTTTGGATATAATACCTTTGTATAATCATATGCCGGAGCTAATTTGTCTGATTTTGTAGAAAATAAACTGCTCAGTTCCCCTGAATCAATCAATCAGCCAGTCAGTCAATTAATCATTTAATCAACCAATTAGCCAGATAGCCAGTCAGTCAATCCATCAACCAACCAATCAATCAATCAATCAAATGTTAAGACATCAGAGTAATAAGTAATAGGTATGGACTGGAGATGGAGAAAAATCCAATTAAACTAGATTTTTCAGAATTCAGTTTAAATAAAGATTAGATAATAACTAAAGATTAAATCACATCACATGTGTAGGCTTAGCCCCTAACCCCCCCCCCCTTTGTAAATCCCCTGGTTACAATCCCTTTGTTAAGCTTAAAACCAATAAAACTTTACCTTTTTGCTTCCCAGAGATTAGATCTCCAAGAGAAAATCCAGACATTTTAAAACTGAATTTTCTGAAATTGGTATTTTCCAATTTTCTTTTGGCAAAAGAGTTCATCGAAAAAAAAAAATCAAAGAAAAACTTCTTGGGATAAAAATATTTTTTTTAAAAGCGTGGGCAATGATTTTTCTACAAAATATACACCCCTGTAATACAAAGAACAGAATGAACTAGGAGCACAAAAGTAAAAGAAAAGTAGGTTGGGAGTATATTATAAAGTACTAGCACAACTCCCTGGTGCTAGTACTCCAGATCATCTATACGAACTGGTTCAAGCAGAGGTATCATTGATTTTTGCAATCTGTCCCTAAAATAAGAAAATTCATAGATATCATTTTTGAATTTGTTTATTTGGACGAGAAAGTCTTGAATAAAATATTTTAAGGAAAAAAACTGCAAAATGTCAAAAAGAGAATTAGTTCGAGTTGGACCCTTTTTAAAATCATTTTTTTTTTTTTTTTTTTGAGGCAACTTTAAACTTAAAAAATAATATAATATATAATAATAGCCTTGAAATTATAAAATAGTTTTACTTGGAAGAAACTGTCGACAAAATCAAATTACACGTGACCCTCCCTTTAAATACCAAATACATAATGGTATAACCGAAAGACCTTTTATAAATCAAAAATTAAAAATAAATTTATTCAATATTAACCAGAGACACGAAAAATCTCTTTATTAGAAAAAAAGAAAATCTTATAAATCTATCAGTTAGAGGGTACCATGGTGAATCTGACATTCACTGCTGCATTAAGAGGAAATTACGTTGACATAACCTTCAACCATTGGTATTATAATACCTGGATAAAGATTTTCTCATATCGTATGCATCTTCATCAGTCTCTCCGCTATAGTATTCAAGAACAGTCCTAACAAAAGGGATTTAAATAATATGTACATTACGCATTGTACAGTGTTAACTGTACAGTGTACAATGTACATACCGACAGTTTTGACAAAAAAAAACATTCAGTGAGAAATGTCTAAAACTGATTTCTCCTCATGTGAACATTGCTTTTACCTTTGTTCAAAGAGATTAATGGATGTACATTGTACAATGAAAACACATGATTATTTGACGGGAAAAATCAAATATCTTGCAATTTTTTCAACCATTGTAATGCTAATATAATAAAATCATTTGAGATTTCTAAAATTAAAAAATCGACATTTTTATTTTGACCAAAACTTTTTCATGAGGTCAAGTGAGTTTCAAAAAAACGGACCCAATCGGTTCAGTCGTTTTTTCCGTTTATTGGATCACTAACAAACAGACAGACAGACAAAAACAACTATTACCTGTAAACTGTATAGCCTAATTTTTCGTAGATAGTAAGTGCAACTTTGTTGCTTACCCTTTACAAACAAATATCTTAATCTTTGATTTTTTGAAGATAAATTTTTCCATCAAACTAAAGTTTAGCTCTCATTATTAAGCTAAATTCAATCTTAGAATTCTTGTAAAGACAAATTTTGAACGTTTTTTAACTCTAGAAAAGTACAGAAATCCGCAAGTATGTGCTGACAGAATAAACAAGAATCATTTTTGACATTTAAAGGTAAACTCTTAAAGTTTTGTTGACATGAAACCCGACGGTTCAGTCGTTTATTGGATAATGGATACAGACACCCTGACAGACAGACAGACAAGCTAAACATTGGAAGTTGATTCTAAAAACAAACAAAAAAGATCGAGTATGTTGTTTCCTGACAAAGAGATCAACAAAATAGCACTTCTTTTTGTCAGATATAACTTCTAATCCGTCCATTAGTTTCCGAGCCAAACCTAAAAATAAATATGATTTTATGATTGATTACAATCATTAATAAAATTTTAAGTTTGAACTCGTCAAAGTCTCCAGAATAATCGTTCTCAAATTCCGGATTTTTTTCGAAATTTTTTTCGGGAAAAATTTGTGAACTACTACCATGAGATAGTAAGTTGCCTCAAAAATTTTGGGCTCAATCGGTTTGGCAGTTTTTGCGTTTATTGGATTCTAACAAAAACCAAGCAGACAGACAAGCAAAGTATGTAGATAGAAAATCAATAATATCATTATTTTTTTACATAAAATTTTAGAGAAAGAAATATTTTTCTGTACCTAAACGCCTGTACTCGGGCCCGACAGTAACGGCAGTCACGTGACCATGCCAATTCTCTCCTACGCCCTGTAATGTTTTTAATCATTTATAGAATTTCACTTGGAATTCAACAACACCCCCCCCCCCTTCTACATGGAGTGCACTATCATTGTGTTGTGTCAAGAGTGTACCTTGTTTTTCGGAGCAAAATACACAACAAATTTAAACATAAGATATCAAATTTATAAAACTGTAAGCGCAATCTTCAAGTGACTTCCCATGCAAAAATGGTAGAGTCCGGTTTACAACGGTTCCCTGGATAGTGGTAACCTTAATCCAAAATGTGGAAAATATAATAATTTTTCTCACTTGAAAAGTTTAAATTACTGTGAATTTCTACATTTTTTCTTAGAAGCAAGAAATGCTCTAATCACTTTCGCAGAGAAACCGCAAATAAAAATGAACCGTTTTAAAAAAAAAAACATGAATATCTAATTTATATTTTATCAGAAAAAGCTTTTAAGGGTACCATTGTGAATCAGGCATTGCCATCTTTGCAAATCTAGGGTTGAACTTGAAATAACGCTTACAGTCCCTTTAAAATTCTGAAATGTTATGTCAAAGTGTAAAAATGTAACTGCACTGGCCACAAACCTCTGATTTTCCCATGATGTACCCCATGATGTCACCAGAAGAGGACTCGGCAACCTAAATTAAATAAATTAAATTTAAAAATATTTATTTTCTATAACTTTGCTTTATTTAGAATGAAAATAATATAGCGAATTTAATAAATTTAAATAAGCCATTTTAGTTTGTTATAAAACAGAGATAATACCCCTAAACCAATTTTTAACCGTTACATAATTCATAAGTGTTTAGCATAAATAGATATATTACTTACCATAAAAAGAGATATTACTTACCATAAAAAGAGATATTACTTACCATAAAAAGAAATATTACTTATCATATATTACTTATCATTAAGAGATAATTACTTACGTTACCTTGAAGAGATATCACTTACCATTAGAAAAGATATTATTTACCATAAAAAGTTCTGGCCATCTTGCCATATACTGGAGATAGAACCCTAATCCATAGATCTCTGTCAACGGGTCTAAAGTAGAAAATAAAAAAGTTAAATTATTGACTTCCATCCATTGCATTTTTTTACCCCATGTTAACACAAATGTTCCTTGTGTAATGTAGAAAATGAAAGAAAAAGCTCTACATACATAAGTAACTAAGAAAGCTTTGACCTACCCAAAGTTAACTAAGAAATGATTATATGCATAAGAGTTTCATAGGGTTTATCGAGCAAATCATTTCCCAAGTTGTAGGGTTAATTGAATAAAGGTTCATAATAAACCAGGGGCAAAGATTCAATATCTACCCTAGAATAGGGTTAAATGTGTATAATTCAATATCTACCCTAGAATAGGGTTAAATGTGTATAATTCAATATCTACCAAAGAACAGGGTTAAATGTGTATAATTCAATATCTACCCTAGAATAGGGTTAAATGTGTATAATTCAATATCTACCCTAGAATAGGGTTAAATGTGTATAATTCAATATCTACCCAAGAACAGGGTTAAATGTGTATAATTCAATATCTACCCTAGAATAGGGTTAAATGTGTATAATTCAATATCTACCCAAGAATAGGGTTAAATGTGTATAATTCAATATCTACCCTAGAATAGGGTTAAATGTGTATAATTCAATATCTACCCTAGAATAGGGTTAAATGTGTATAATTCAATATTTACCCAAGGTTACAGGGTTAAATCGGAACAAGTCGTCACAAGTAAACTGGCGCAGTGTCGTCATTTTTTCTGAAAAGACAAGCCATCATATAAGACAAAGAAATTCTTTTAAAGCAACTGAGCAATTGCCGAAAACCTAAATTTCTCATCCCTATATCTTTGCAGTCTGATAATGAAAATTTTTGACAAATTGATCTAACAGAATTTAGAGTTTAAAACATTAAAAATTACAAAATTAGAATGCAAAGATATAAGAATTAGAACATTATAGTGTGAGACAAGTTTCAGCTAATTTGTAAACAGGTATCGGAAAATATTGATACAATTTTAATTTCCAAGTATATGTTTACTTCAAGACAGACTTAATCCATCAATATTAAGTTATTTGAGACTATTGAGGCATCATAGGCGGAATACATTTCAAAGCGGATCAGCATAAAAATATTGCCGATGTTCAACTTTATATATCCAGAGATGGAATTGAAAGAATTTGAGCCGCGGTTTAAATCCACCAAAACCCACTATAAATCAAGCGCCGGCTTAAATCTTGAAACATTTGATGCAATTTTAAGTGGAACCAACCATATTCAAACCGCGGCTTAAATTTAAACCGCCGCTCAAATTCTTTAAATTCGGCCACAGTTATCATTTTTTAATAAATAAATCAAAAGCAATAAAATAAAACAAAAATCATAATAAAAAACAACTCTTCAGGAATTACATGTTTGTCTAGCTATCTACGTGATATCATGAATATCATGAATTTTCTTAGTGCGGTAGATGAAGTATTGTTTTAAAGAAAAAATTTTACGTTTTAAATTTTTAATTTTGGCCTATCTTACCAGCTAAGATTTAAAAAAATTGAGAATTTGTCAAAAATTATTGGAGAATAATCATTTTTCAAAACATTTTAATTTTTTTCTTAAATTTTGAAGATCTCTGAAAAAAAATTCCGCATTTTTTAGAAAATATCGCTTTTCATTCTTGTTATAGAAGACCAACCATTCTCTTGACATCTTTAATAGTTTGACTGGCAATACTTTGTGCACTGTCCCTTCCCTTGTCGAGTACAGAGTCCAGATACATGTTATCATCTAACAATCTGAAACCAGAATATCAATCAATCAATAAGTTTTAAAATATTGGCACAATTTTAAGTGTGTTCCCTACAATTACTTTGTAAAATGTTAATTAAAGGGACTGCAAGCGTAATTCCATGCAAAGGTGACAAGACAATGTCCGACTCACAACTGTACCCTTGACACCTTTTTATCTCATCAATGATGTGAAAGGTATTTTCTTGGTTTAAAAAATGTTTAATTTTTATAATTCATATATGTCTTCCTTTAATATAAGAAAAAGTGCGCAAATCACTTTTGCAGAGAAACCACAGTTGAAAATTATACGTTTTCAAAATTATAAACATTGATATTAGATTCATAATAGTTCAGACAAGGCTTTTAGGTGTACCGTTGTCAATCGGAATGTGCCATTTTTATATTATAGGCCACTTGAAATTACACTGACAGTACCTTAAAAGGGATTTCGAAATTTTTATTGATAATTAATAAAAACTATTTTTTCATAGATTAGATTTCATTCCTTGTCATTTCTTCTCTGATGGGAGTCAGATGTTCAATAAGAGTTGATGTAACCATTTCTTTCAGAACAACCTAGGTATAAATCTTATTTACCTAAACTTGACAGGGGCCGAGGGGTGGGGTGGTATCCTCTCATATTTGTGACAGGGGCCAAGGGGTGGGGTATCCCCACATATTTATTTATTTGCTTATTTGCTTATTTGCTTATTTACTTATTTACTTATTTACTTATTTTTTTATTTACTTATTTACTTATTTACTTATTTACTTATTTACTTATTTACTTATTTACTTATTTATTTATTTACTTATTTACTTATTTACTTATTTACTTATTTACTTATTTACTTATTTACTTATTTACTTATTTACTTATTTATACGAAACCAATTAAAACAACACATCAGCAATTGTAGGTTTTGAGCGTCTGCTAGGTTTGTACACATCAAATATATATTTTTTCTTTCTATATGTTCTGACCATAAAGTTTAGATTCACACTCATTGTTTTAGCATATTTTCATCACAATAATGAACTATTTGACTTTATACCCCACCCATACTGTTATACGTTTCAAAAAATTGTTTTAATCTAATTTTTTATAATTACATCTTAATTTTTTACCTTATTTATATTGTTGGTGATAATATATTGTTCTACTTGGTCAGGAGTTTGATTGGTTAAACTGCTGTAGATTAGGATTAAGTTTGCTACACCTGGAGGTCGGAATTAATTAATAGTGAGAAGTAGTTGGACTCCCATTGAGGTTTACATCTCAGTATTTAGAGGGATCCGAGTGACTTATTGATTATAGACAAATTAATTAATTTATTAAATCAGTAAGAATATTTGAACCTAATGGTTCAAGTAGTCATACCTAATTCGATTGTTTCTCGCTTTCATTAAATCCGAACGTAACTTTGAACTAATTAAATTAGAATTAATAAAAATCAAATAAATTCAGCTCAAAAATCAATTTATCGAGTCTTATCCAATATCAATAAAATCCAGTCTAATCGAATCCAGCCCAAATTGTCAAAATCCAATCCAGTACAAAACAATCCAATCCAATTCAACAACCTATTTCGGTTCAGTAAAATTCAGTTTAAATACAATCCAATCCAATCAAATTTAATCTCATTTAATCCTATCAAATTGTAAATGTATTTCAAACTAAACATCACAAGACGGAAATACGACTTTATCATATTTCATTTGACAAAAAGAAAAGATAAAATTTTATTTATAATTACCATAATGTACAGGGTTACCCACAAAGGATGAGACTTGAGCGCCGACTGTACGGAATTTTCTTAAATTCATAACTCTCTAAATCTGTTCTCAGTTTTCGCTCTTTGCCAAATTATTAAATGAGCTATTACAAGACTATATTCAATTTAATTCAATAAAATTGGTCACATCTTGAGAGTTTCATTAGATTGTCTTAACAGTCTCATCCTTTTTGGGTAACCCTGTATTATAATAGAAAAATGTTTTACCTGGCCTATTTTCCGGATCGTAAGTTATTTCTTTTATTGTATCTGTCACACTTTTCTTTATTTTTTCCCGAATTATATCTGCACAATATATAACTATTCAAAAATGTAATAAATTCAAAGAAACTTTTTAATATAAAATTTTAAGAAGAATTTTTTAATTCGTCAAAAAAGCTCTTTTTAAATTCAGACATGAAATAGCTGATACAAATTGCTACAACTTCATTCAGAGATTCATCTCATTATAGAGTTATACAGTAACTTCCGTCATCCGTTTTTCCATACTTAATTAATTGTGAATCGTTATTGTTACTCTTTGCTTAAAATAAAAATACATTTCGAGTCCCCAAAAATACTTGTTTTGGAAAAAATATGGCTCCTTCCCTAATCCTAACAATAAAGTTCGTGGACTTTTTATTATTTTTTCGTAAGATTTCAAAATTTTACAAAATTCGGAAGTTTTTGAGACAAATTTTTGTAATTCTTAGCATCCATTATTATTATCCTTTCCCTGGGTCACGTGAGTTCCCACAAAAACGTTTCTTGGATACAAACCAACAGACAGACAATCAAAGATCCCATATAGACCAGGGTAAGTGGCGGAGCTCAACCCTATCTTCACTGTATGTCAGCCTACAGGTCGTTATACATTGTTTGTAGGTTGATTGTTAATAATAATAATAATATATAAATATATCTTATTTTAGGTTGGATATTTTATGTTCCTTGAGAATCATTGATGAAAATACAAGATTTAGGATCCGGGTCGGACTTCGACATCTTTTTCTCCGGATTTCTCAAACTCCGGAGCCGGGCTGTGTTGTTATCAGGCAGTACGGCCTGGAAATTAATCAATCATTGATAAAGGTACTGTAGACGAAATTTCAAGTGGCCTTCCATTTTTAACATGTCCTTAACTTTATCTGAATAACAATAGGAACGATATTGCCGTATTCTTTCATAACCTTGAAATCGCGTTAAATTCTAAATAAAAACCCTTAATATATCTGTAGCAGACTACCGCTAGGCACTATATAGAGAAGCCACAATTTAAAAAAATCAATTTTCCGAGCGAAGAGAACTAATTCATCAATAAGACAACTGTAAATTCGCCGGACATGCCTCCATATAAAGGGCCACTTAAAATTGTGTCTACAGTCCCTTATGTTATAATTATCATGATTAATTCTAATCAGAATTGAAATTTTGGAATATTTTGCAAGAACATCTTTCAATTAGAACGAAAGCAAAAAAACAATTTTTGTAAATGCAGATTTTTTCATCTCCATTTCTTAAATTAAGTTTTTATCAGTTTTAAAATCCTCGTTAAACCTCTGGTCGTGGGAAGTAGGTTCCATAAGTAGAATTAAATTTCTGGCACAAATACTGAAAAAAAATTTCCAATAATAATATAAAATTTTACTTAAATCAAAATAATCATTATTTATATTTTAAATAAAAAATGTGAGCATATTTCAACTAAAATTAATTTTAGAAAAAACAAACATAATATGAGTTTTTTCTCCTTAATACTCCCCTTTATTCAGAACAGTATTTTGATTGTAGGTTCATTAACAAAATAACAATTTAAAAAATAACTAGACAGAATTGGCTAAAACATTAAATTAGGATGATAGTACTACAGGGATACTCACAACGGATGAGACATCAGTGATGTAAGTTCTGAATTTATTCAGTCTTTGTTTTTTCTTTCAAGTATTGATCTCAATCTTATACAGGGCTACCGATTAGTTTAATTCCCCTTTAATGGCCCTAATATTATACTAGGCAGAGTAACTTAGTTTGAGGGATATATCATTAACCAACAATTTAACAGTGCTCACATTGGATATCAATATCAAGCGTTCAAGATTAACAATATTCACGCAGAAGTTCCGATCCCTGGTGCACTGGAGTGTTTCAGGTCGTCATTACATCTATTGTGGGTATCCCCGAATAGATTATCAAGTACAATAGGTGGCAACAGAGAAATGGATCAATTATACACGACGTCATTAGTGTCAAATATAACAAAGAAAACGAAATTTTCTCACATTATTTGTCATGTTTTTCAAGATTAAATAAAAAAGTGTAAAAACAGAAAATAAATAAGACATAAAATTGTACCTTTTTCACTGTAAGATAAGCTCTTTATTCTAAAAGGATCACTATTATTGTTAATTTTGTCGGACACAATACTGAGTTGACACTTGTGATGTAAGAATACAGCTGAGAGTGTACAAATACTACGTTGCCATCTATTGTACTTAACAATATATCTGGGTATCCCTAGAAGCGGAAATTTAACTCCCGAGTTTCCATTTCAGGGATATTTGTGGAAATATCAATAAAATAATTAAATAATAAAAAAACTGATCATATGAAATAATAATTCAAACCAAAAGATTTGTATCTACATAAAAAATGTTCTTAACCCATTTACAAAACCCGAGATTTCATGACGATACCCTGTCTTAAATTTTGGACTCAGAGCCCAAAACTTAAGACAGGGTATCGTTATGAAAACCAGTTTTAAAACCCGGGTTTCACGAATGGGGTTAGACAGTTTTGTGAATATCAATATTTTTGTTATGAAATATTATTTTTTTTTAGTTTGTTTATATTCTCCATTTTTCGAATCTCTTAAATAAAAATGTACACAAATGTTAAGACCCTAAAAAGGAAACTCGGGAGTTTCGATCAACGATATTCTTAATATTTTGGGCTCAGAGCTTAAAAGTAAACTGTGTACAAAATGAGAAAAAGTAAACCTGAGCTATTTGAATGTTTTGAATGTTGTCCTCTCCTACCGGGATCTTTGTAGCCTAACAAAAAAAAAACAATTTATTTTGTTTAAATGGTAAAATATTATTATTTAATATCCATAACCTTTTATCAGTGTTTCAGATCCATTTAACTTTGATGCTGATCCGGATTCTGGATCCAAATTGGAAAAAAATGGATCCGTATCCGGATCCAGGTCATGAACATTTCTAGATTCAATGATTTCTTAAAAGAAGAATTTTCAAAATATTTTTCTTCTTTTTTGATAATCTCTCTTTTTTTAAACAATTCAGATTTGGGGTTTAAGTGCAAAAGATTTTTATTTGTAGTTTTTTGTTGATATTTTACCCCTTGGAATGTTCTTAACCTGGTTTGAAAATTCTAAATTAAGTGGGTTGACTTTTCTACTTAAAGGGGGACAAACCGGCTATGTAAGGTAGTTGAACTGAGTATGCAGTGTTGTAGACAAGTTCTTTAGGATTCATTTGAGACATATAAAACTTTTTAAAGATCTGTAAATCCTGAGTTTAAGCGCAAAGTCGAAGTCAAAGTAGTACTTTTGGGTGAATACGTTTTCGGAATTTTTAATCTTATTTTTAAATAACGACGAGAAAAAATGTTCACAAAATTCTACAGTAAACTAATTAGTTGTTTAGGAGTAGGTTGAGAAAATAAAAATTAATCTTGTTCAATTTTAAGTTTTTATTTTTATTATTCTAGTTTCTCATTATTCACAAAGATTTTCTGCAGATTTTCTGGAACTATTGTTGAAAAGACGAAATTTAAAAAATGTGTAGAAATTTGCAAAAAAATTCATAGAAAGTAAGAAAGTCAATATAATGATGAAAACAAAATAATTGATTCTAGCATTGATTCATGGACAAATTTCATTTGAGAAATACCTACCCAGGTAATGAGTTTACTGTATAATTTTTACTTTATTTTTCGTCGTCGTTATTTAATAATTAAAAAAAACCGATTCTAAAAACGTACCCACCCAAAGTCATGATTTTGAACGTCGACTTTGCACTCAAACTTAGTAGTTAAACGTCGTGGAAAAGTTTTGTATGTCTCAAATGAATCCTAAAGAATGTGTCCACAAAACTGCATACTACGAATTGTAAAACTAAAATTGCAGAAAAAACCTTTTTGTCCTTGATATTTTTAATCACCTTATAGAGAAGAATATCTGCACTTTGTAACACTGGGTATAAATATAATCCTAAAAATATTCAGAAATATTATTCCATATCTTTTATCTGTTATTTATCTTTATTAAATACAATTCTCAGTGTTAAATCAAATCAAATCAAATCAAATCATTCTTTTAGGGACGTCCTACACCCACACCCCAAAATTGAAGTGACTGTACTAAATCAATAATGAAGTGAGGTCTTACGATTTGTATTTTTGCTAATTTCCACTTGGGTTTTTTAATAAACTCTGCAAAGAGGTTTGTAATCTACATTATTTTTACCATTAACATGAACGAAAACGTGCAAAATCAACAATCTACAACGGACATCCGACGTTATTGCCAGACCGCCAATCATTTTTCAATTTTGTTTAATGTTGTTGAATAAAGTTTTACCTAAAAGGACTTCTTTTAACTTCTCTGATTTGTCTTTGTACTGTGTCAACTGTGCTGAAAAAAAATAACAGCAATGGAGCATTTTCAATAAAGCCTCATTTTTAATTAGTCATGAGTATTCATATTTATCAGCTATTTTGCAAATTTGTGAAAATTTGAGATTTTCAAATTGGCAGATTTAACGCAAAGTGATGAAAGCACATGTCAAAATTTTCATTAATATTTGAATGAATTTGTGTAAAACCACCAAAAATCTTATTTTCTTCATTTCTTGAAGTTCCTAACTCACCTAATCTAGGAACAGTACAGAGCGTTCCAAGAATCCAACAGAGTTCTGAATGTTCCTTAACTGTGGACTGCTGGAACAGGATACATCTGTTAAGTAGAACTTAGAAATTGTTTTTAGCAGAACAATTTTAATTCTTGCATTCAGAAGGATTTCATTACAAAATACGGTGCAATTTTCATCTATTTTCATCTATTTTCATCTATTTTCATCTATTTTCATCTATTTTCATCTATTTTCATCTATTTTCATCTATTTTCATCNAACTATTTTCATCAACTATTTTCATCAACTATTTTCATCAACTATTTTTATCAACTATTTTCATCAACTATTTTCATCAACTATTTTCATCAACTATTTTCATCTACTATTTTCATCTTCTATTTTAATCTAATATTTTCATCTATTTTCATCTATTTTTGTTTATTTTCATATATTTTCATATATTTTTTTATATACTTTCTCATTTTAATTCATATCTATTTCATTCGGAGATTAAATTCTTAGCTCAATTTTCCCCCCTAAAAATTTGTAAAAAGGTTCTCCTTACCGGTCAGTATCTAGTCCGCAAGCTAGAAGACTCGCTGTCATCTCTCGTATTCCCGACCTATGCAGTATGTACGTAGAGTAACTGTTATGAACCCGAACAGTTTTTATTGAAAAAGTTTTGATTGAATCAGTATTTAATATTTGTTAAAATTATGTGCACTCTCCTCAATGATTGCATTTATTTTTGCTTTTAAATAAGTCAACAAGACGAGACGTAAGAATGATTTCTTAATTCTCCACACTCCATCTTGATCATTGGCCTCCATCCTTGTTCTCTATCTTTGAACTCCACCTTTGACCTTCACCCTTGAACTCGTTGTTTTAATTAAATGACTTAGATACTCAACCACAATCTAGGCTATTGGGCTCAGTACTTGATCTCGATCATTGACTTAATCCTTGACCTCAATCCTTGACCTCAATCCTTGACCTCAATCCTTGACCTCAATCCTTGACCTCGATCTTTGACCCCAATCCTTGACCTCAATCTTTGACCCCAATCCTTGACCTCAATCCTTGACCTAAATCCTTGACCTCAATCCTTGACCTAAATCCTTGATCTCAATCCTTGATCTCAATCATTGACCTCAATATTTGACCTCAATCCTTGACCTCAATCCTTGACCTCAATCCTTGACCTCAGTCTTTGACCCCAATCCTTGACCTCAATCCTTGATCTCAATCCTTGATCTCAATCCTTGATCTCAATCATTGACCTCAATATTTGACCTCAATCCTACTCCACGACCTCGACCCGCAACCTAGGCCATTCATCCTGACCCATGACCTCGAACCTTGACCCAGATATTGACCTCTAGTTTTACAAGGAAGATTGTTCTACCTGAGTGCTCCTGGATCTTGAGGCAATGTTATAGCATGAAGGTCAACCACGCAGAACATCTGATATAGACTAGATTCAAATATTTTTTCTTATTTAAATTAAAATGTATTTTTTCATCTTTGTTCAAAATGAAGTTTGCAGAATTCATTAATAATAAAATCCCAAGAATTCAAAAAATGATATGATTCCCAAAAAGAACACTTCATGTATCTAAATATAAAGTAGTTATCTCGGTGGTGTGTGTTGGTGTTTGGACCGATTTGCCTCAAATGTTAAGTGGGAAACTTTATTTGAAATTTTAACTTGGATAGGTCGACTTTAATCGGAAAAACTTAGTTTACAGGCAAATCTAGGTGTTCATGCTAGAATTTAGGTTTTTAAGTTTTAAAATTATCATGTGACACAAAATCGCTTCAAGATTTAATACTCACTTCTGAGATTTAGGATCAAATTAACAAGATTGGGCTATTAATATCCAACATTTAGGATCAAACTAACAAGATTAGACTATTAAATATCCAAGATTTAGGATCAAATTAACAAGACTAGGCTATTAAATATCCAAGATTTAGGATCAAACTAACAAGATTAGGCTATTATATATCCAAGATTTAGAATCAAATTTACAAGACTAGGCTATTAAATATCCAAGATTTAGGATCAAACTAACAAGATTAGGCTATCAAATATCCAAGATTTAGAATCAAATTTACAAGACTAGGCTATTAAATATCCAAGATTTAGGATCAAATTTACAAGACTAGGTTATTAAATATCCAAGATTTAGGAACCAAAACCCGAAGACCTGAATTTTTTTTTTTCAAATTACTTAACGAGTTTTACGATTTATAAAATCTTCCTTATTCATTCTGTTTTCTACAGTTAATTCTTCTCCCCATCTTTTTACAGCGCCGAGATAATTTCCTGAATTAAAATAATTATTTTTTACAAAATAAAAAGATTAATTAAAACAAAAACTTAAAAATATCTTTATCTTATTATGTGTGTGGATCTGGAATTTTTTACATATTTCTGTTCCCCCTCTACCTTCTTCGCCCCATTATGAAAGCACCCCACCCCTCCTATTTAATGCTACATATCAGATTCACAACGGTACCACTTAAAAGTTCATAATACTATAGCTAGCTGCTTAGTTAGTAAAATTTGAGAACAAAACATTAGGTTTAAAGGATATGACTTTGACAAAAAAAAACTTTTTTCCCTATGTTTCGGGGGAAAAAAATCTGGTCTTGGTTTTTAACATTTCTTCTGCAGTAAATTGGCAGGAACAAGGAACAATAAATAGAAATCGTTTATCACAGTGAGATTTATTGGGTTTCCAATTTATAAGTTTTAGTTTTTTCCATGTTTAGAAATAAATCAAATTTAGTTTATCATTTTTTTACTGGAGAAATAAATAGAAATCATGACAAAATTGTAAATGCGATAAGTAAAAACTATATATATAAGGTGGACGCTGACTAGGAGTAGGCGCTGTCTTGGTTAAGTTGTGATATATAAAACTACGGAGCATTGTAAAACCATTATTTTAGGACTGTGGTTGTTTTTAATACTTTCGCTAGACCAAAATATATTTACACTTGGTTAGTTTTTACTGTAAAATATTCCAAATAAACCCAACGAAAAGTTAAAGAAAATCTTATTGATCAAAAGAAATATTTTCAAGAAAATAAGACAGTGCTTAGGATCCGGATCCGTTGGATCCGCAAAATTTTGGCTGCCTGGATCCGAATCCACGGATCCGGATCCAAGGGGCAAAATATCATCCAAAAACTGTAAAAACCCAAATCTAAACTTTTGAAAAAAGGTATTATTAAAATTTCCCGATTTCTGAATGGTTCAGCAAGTTTTAGCATAAGAATAAGCGAAAAACATGAGACAAATAATTTGAAAACTTTGTTTTGTTAAAAAAATCAGTAAATCTTTAATGACCTGGATCCGGATCCACATTTAGATCCGTGTCCATTTTTTCCAGTGCGGATCCGGAACCGCATCAAAATTAAAACCTAAGCACTGGTAGCAGAATTAACTGAAAACAAGCTGAGAAATTTTCTTCATAGAACAATGTTAATAGTTAGGTGCAAAATTCTTTAAAATTTGGGAAGTGAAAATATTTTACGATTGTGTCAATTAAGAATTTCATAGTTTCAGAGGTAAGAATGTACAACGTTTTGAGGCTTCACAAGAGTCTGAGATGCAAAACCTACTTCAAATTGTATGCTGGAAAAATTTGCGCTTTTTACATAAAGCTAAATTTTTACTCTGATCAAAAATATTAACTAAGACGATTTTTCAAACGGAAAACGAAAAACAGATTTACTAATCGTTTTGGTTTAATGTATTTCATCAGTGTACAAATTTTGCTCTGTGCATCGTTAATCTTGTAACGCTTGATCTCAACGTCCAATGTGGACATTTATTAATTTGAGGACCATTACTTGAATCCCTTAATTAAAGTAATCCCTGCAGAGACACCACGTGATGTCGAAGTAGAATAAATTAATACGTAGGTCTGTATAAGATGAAGATCAATACTTGATCAGGAGATTCAGAATACAAAAATTCTGGCCTAGAATGCTAAACTTATACACAAACTCATCGTTACTAAATTAAATCCTAATCGCTAAAAAAGGATTAAATCATAAATATGAAAGAAATGAAATAATCAGGTAATGTTTAATATTACTACTACCTAAATGTAATGTTCCTGTGGGCTGAAAATGAAATAATCAGGTAATGTTTAATATTACTACTACCTAAATGTAATGTTCCTGTGGGCTGAATACCAGAAAATGAAATAATCAGGTAATGTTTAATATTACTACTACCTAAATGTAATGTTCCTGTGGGCTGAATACCAGAAAATGAAATAATCAGGTGATGTTTAATATTACTACTACCTAAATGTAATGTTCCTGTGGGCTGAATACCAGAAAATGTTCGTGGGTTTGCAACTTCTGCACTGACAAACAATACCAGTAAATTCAAGCCTTTATAAATTATAAAAGCTGAAGAGGAACAGTTCATAAAAATTTGAGAGAAAATTGTATATTCCCAAGAAAGAAACGCTATTCTCAACTACAGTGAGACCAGAAAACTGTGGATAGACTCAAGATTTGGTTTCAGATAGTCCTATGAAAACAAAAGACACGGCAATTGTGCAATATGCACGGACTCATTTTACGAACTGAGAGATTTCTAGGTAGAACAATTTGCTTTGATTGAAAAAAATTGCTTTAATATCGCCTGATCAGCATATTTCTTATTCTTACAGCAGAATAATCGATTAAGTACATAGTACAGGAACATCGTAATCTTCAGTTAGTTCATGGGGAAAAAACCCTATGTTGATTTTAAAGCTTTCTTTAACAATGGACAGGATATTCTAAAAATCTGAAAAAATATTGCTAGATTTGGTTCTTCTTCCTTACAGTTGCTGACGTAAGTAAAAACATGGGGTAATTATTTTCTCTAAAATCAAAGGTTCCTTTAACGGCATTTAAATAGTTCATGTCTCAATGTCAGGTCACTTAGATTAACGCCAACAGTTCCTTAGATTAACATAAACATTCCCTTAGATTAACGTCAAGAGTCCCTTAGGATAACGTCAGAGTCCCTTAGATTAACGTCAAGAGTCTCTCAGATTAACGTCAGAGTCCCTTAGATTAACGTCAAGAGTCTCTTAGATTAACGTCAAGATTAACTTTATTCAAGTGAAACAAATATGTAAAGGGGAAATGAATGAATTTTTGAGTGACAAGGATTAATTCATTTAAAATTCGGTGATGGTGATGGACCAAACCTCTGTAGAGTAAAAAAAGTATATGTTAGTCCCACATTTATTGAAAATATATTTCGGTCTGGGTTGACTCTCGTCATTCAAAATGCATCAAAATTAATTTTGAAAAGCTGAAATAATTTACTTTTCAAAAAACGGGGTTAGATCAAAGCTTAAATTTCCTTTTTAAAGCTAAATAATATTTTTAAAATCAGAATAAACATTTTCCTGTGATATTCTATTTTCTTCGCTACAGCACGCCCAGTGTTGGCGTACGCGTCTAGTATTTCACGAGCAAGGGCGTCCCAGATACTTAACAGAAATTTATCATCAGGATTTTAGGAATTTAACCATCTTATAGACTGTCGACATCATTTTTAAGTAAACCCCATGCAATTAATGGTAAATTCCATAGAAATCCCACAAATGGAAATTATCAGGTAAAATGATTACAGGGATTACAGGGTGCTGTTGTGAATTGAAGGGTTATTATAAATCATGTCGACTCAACAACCTCTTTAATTGTTTGAGAAATAATAAAATAAATAAAATAAAGACTATATGTATATTGTATAACAACACACAAGTAATCTCGGCATTTTTTTCAATTTCTGAAGAACTCGAAAAAAGTATTATTTTATATGAAATCTTATTTGATGTGGTTATAAAGCAAACAGCTTGAAAATCGACTGATCATTTATAAATTGCGTCTAAGGGTCGTCTTCCTGTTTCCCTGTTCTACTGGTTCCACTGTATTGCAAACATTTTTAGAAAACTGTTTTAACCTGACAGATTTAGGAACAGGTTCATTAGGATTTTTCTTTCTCCAAACCCATCTTGGGTTTGCCCTGTTATCTCTAGCAGCGTGATGAATCCATCTCATTCCCTCAAAATATGACCTAGGAAAAAATTAAATTAAGATCTAGGAAGTGTTAAAACAAATAAGTGTTCCAAATAAGACCTAGGAAAAAATTAAATTAAGATCTAGGAATTAAAACAAATAAGTGTTCCAAATAAGACCTAGGAAAAAATTAAATTAAGATCTAGGAAGTGTTAAAACAAATAAGTGTTCAAAATAAGATCTAAGAAAAAATCATAATAAGGTCTAGAAAGTGCTAAAACAAATAAGTGTTCAAAATAAGACCTAAGAAAAAATCATAATAAGGTCTAGAAAGTGCTAAAACAAATAAGTGTTCAAAATAAGACCTAAGACAAAATCATAATAAGGTCTAGAATGTTTTGAAACAAATAAGTGTTCAAAATAAGACCTAAGAAAAAATCATAATAAGGTCTAGAAAGTGTTGAAACAAATAAGTGTTCAAAATAAGACCTAAGTAAAAATCATAATAAAGTCTAGAAACCTTTGAAACAAATATGTGTTCAAAATAAGACCTAAGAAAAAATCATAATAAGGTCTTGAAACAAATAAGTGTTCAAAATAAGACCTAAGTAAAAATCATAATAAAGTCTAGAAACCTTTGAAACAAATATGTGTTCAAAATAAGACCTAAGAAAAAATCATAATAAGGTCTAGGAAGTGCTAAAACAAATATGTGTTCAAAATAAAACCTAAGAAAAAATCATAATAAGGTCTAGAAAGTGTTAAAACAAATAAGTGTACAAAATAAGACCTAAGAAAAAATCTAAATAAGATCTAGGTCAAGTGTTAAAAAAATTGCCAAATAATTTATCAAAAAAGGACCTAGGAAGTGTTTAAAATAAGACTAAGGAAGTGATAAAAATAAGGCCTAAAAAGTGTTAACAGTGTGAGAAATAGAAATTTTTCTAACTTTTACTAGGAAATGTTAAAAATAAGACCAATAAAGTATTCAAAAAAATCTTCAGAAAAGTCCTTTTTTTATTAATTACGTGATCACTTAAATTCGTTTAATTTGTCCGAAAATTCGATATTCTTCGACAGTAAAAAATGGAGAAATTAATGGTAAAAGATTGGTTTCCGCGATTAAATTTTTAGCTTTTTTATGGTAACATAAAAATTTAAGAGAAAAAGAAACTTCTAAAGGAGAAAACTTACCTCGAACTACATATTAAATTCCCCCCTCCCACTCATCTTCAAAAACCAGTAATAAATTCAGGAGTTTTTATTTTCAGGAGTTTGTCTTTCAGGAGTTTGTCATNGGTACCTTGTTGATGTAATAGGTGTTGGAACCATGTAGGTGATTGCTCCAACCTTAACCTTCTCTAGTCTCATTACAGGCCTGGATATACGATAATCAACCAATCAAAATCAATTAATCAATTAATCAATCAATCAATCAATAAGCCAACAAACCAATTAACCATTCAGTCAATCAATCAACCATCAACTAATAACTCCTCAATCAATCCACACTCATCGATCAATCAATAACTCATCAATCAATCCACAATCACCAATCAATCAATCATTGATCAGCCATCAACCGATCTAATCTAATCAGGAAATCGTGAAAAACACTTGTAAAGTTTCAGAGTCAGTAAAATATATAAAATAGCACTAATATATCAGGTCTGAATAATATCCCCTGCGGACACTTTCAATTCAAGACTCGAATTTTCCCGATCTCTAGCTGGCCGACTGCAGATTTTTGTTGCGTCTAATTGGTCAAAAATTGATATGATTTGTCGACTTGCAAAAGAAATGAGTGATGGCATTTTTAGGTGATTAACAATACAAAAGCAAACCTTTAATTTTGAACCAAATACTAACCTAGCATTTTCTACAGCAGCCAAAATAATTCTAGTCGGGTCCACCTCGACATTTTCATTATTCTTTAATTTCTCAAGCTGAACCTCCTTAAATATAAGGAACTTCATTGCAATATTTTAAAGATAATCTAAATTATGCCCCCCTTCCCCCACCTCCCCGAGTTCTGAAAATAATTTTCAAAGCTCCAGAAAAACTAAAAACAATTTTTAAAACTAATCTAGATTCAATAATTTCAATATTTACTCTCAATGAATGAGGCTCAAATTAGAAGAAAAAAAACTTTACAAAGCTAGGATTGCAGTAAATCGATAATCTACTTTCCTTCTCTCTCCCCTAGTCCAATGAAAGATGAATATAGACTACAAACCTTTAATTTATTGTAAAGTTTCATCATCAGTTGTTCTCCTAGCATGCCATCGTTATGATTTGTCACCATTTTACTAAACTTTTTCATCAGATCGTTCTAAACAAAGGAATTTGTTCAAGCAGAGAACTGTTGATTAAACGGAATAAGTTAATCTTGTTGTTTCCTTCCTGGAAGATAAGTGAATTAACAATTCCTATAAATTCCTATGAAATTAAATTTTAAGACGAATTGCACTTTCTTAACAAAGTATTAAAGGGACAGACCGGCTATGTAAGGTTGTTAAACTGAGTATGCAGTGTTGTGGAAAAATTCTTTAGGATTCATTTGAGACATATAAAACGTTTCAACGATGTATAATTACTGAGTTTGAGCGCAAAGTCGACGTTCAAAATCATGAACTTGGGTGAGTACGTTTTCAGAATCGTTTTTTTAAATTATTAAGTAACGACGAAGAAAACTATAGTAAAAATTCTTTAGTAAACTAATTAGATGTTTAGGATTATATTTCTCAAAAAAATTTGTCAATAAATCAAAGTTAGAATTAATTATTTTCTTTTCCATCATTATATTCATTGAATTTCTTTACATTTACATCTGTTTGGAAAAATGTGTCATTAACTCCTGTTCTTTGGTCTGTTTTCGTACATTGAGGGATTTTACCGTGCACGGACCACAAAATAAACACTTCATCATATATTTATTAATTGGTTTAATTGGTGTGTTTATGTTTATATTTCACGGGTCTGATAATTTAAAACATCTCTTTTCCAACTTCCTTGGCCGTTCAGGAATTCAGCCAGTTATCGAGCTTGTTTTTGAAAATGTTCAGGTTTCCAGCAGTTATGATTTCATATGGATTATCATTCCACGCATTGATTTAATTTGTAAATTGTACTTTGAAACCTAGATAAATAAAAGCGGTCTCTTTCGACAACTTTTTTGAATATCATTCGAATGGCGCGTGTAGGTTATGTTTTGAAGAATAAATATGAAAATGGTGGAGAAAATAACCAATTCTTTATATATTCCTTAAACCTACCAAATCATAATCATAAAATTATGTTATCCTGTAAATACTAAAACAAAACTTATTATTCAACTTTATACCTGGAAATATGCCATGTTTGCATCTTTAGCAGCAGCCTACATTCATCAATTAATCAATATTATTCAATATCAATCAATCAATCAAGCTTAGAGACAGATATTATATTTGTTTAAGTTGTCTTTGTTAGTTGGATAATTTTCAATTGCAGATCTATGTAACAGGGACGACCGGATTTTTTGCAGCAGAGACATTGACAAAAATTGAAAAATAACCTTTTTAGGTCATATAAAACAATGCAATTTCTCTCATTGTTAGTCAAATAAAGGGCAAAAGGCACCGTTGTGGATCAGGCATGTAACACTTTTTTAATTTTTCAGTTTTTTTGTAAATTAATTTTTTTTATTTAAATTTCGAAATTTTCTTAAAATTTACTCGACACTCAACAGTTATTTTAACCTTTCTTTATAAACATTAGAAAGAGTGTCAAGAGGACATTATGTAAAAAATTGATTTATTTTTCCTTGATAGGTACAGCAGCTTTTCTATTGTACTCAGGTGTATTTTTTATCTGGTTTAGTTCTTCCAAGCTCAAAGGAGATTCGAACCTAAAAAGTAAGGCTTGAATTTTAAGCCGATTAGATTTCCCAGTCGAAGTATTTGGAACAGGATCCAATAAAAGCGGATTCAAATGATTAAAAAACAATTTCAGTAAATATTTAAATTTTTAATTTAAGAATTCACGCGAGGTGTTACTTAAAAATGACCCAACTTCTTTAAAGTAAATTTTATAAAATGAAATTAATTCGAATTTGATAGTTAATGTTTATTTTATAATATTCAAGATTATTTACCTTGAAAATCTTTTACTTGCAAATATAATTACTTTTAATTAAATAAAATAGTTTATCTTGCCGAAACTTTTTTCATCTTGAAAACCTTGAAAAACCTTGAAAACCTTGAAACCTTGAAAACCACCTTGAAACCTTTAAAACCTTGAAACCTTTTACCTCTCTGGCCACATACACATCAGCCGAACTCCAGGTTTTTCTAGAGCCCCGACATTTCTTACAAACCTGGCAAGGCTTGGCCGAAACATTCTGAAAAAATAACCATTTTTTAATATTTCTGGCACACCCTCGGGGGTCAAATATTTGCGAGTTAAGTATTTTAGAGATCACATACTTTTTATGTCTTGTGAAAGTATTAAATTTAAAAAAATGTAAAGGTAAATAAAAAATCAACATTTAACATTGCGCAATTTTCTAGAATTGAGATCAAATTTTTGAATTTTCAATCTTAAGTGTTCCATAAAAATTACACGAGATTTTATTGGCTTTGGTCATCTAGATGAGAAAGAAAGATCATCAGTTATATCAGTTTAAAGTTGTACGTCATCGAAAAAATATTTGCGCAAAGTTTCCAAAAACGTTTATAAGTACAGTCGTAAAATACGATAAATTCAATTTAACAAATTTCTAGTAGGACAAAAAAAAACAAAATTCTTGAAAAAACTTTTAGCAAAACTCGAGGCATATTTTAATATTTCAGCACCGATATTCCGTTAGGACAATCATTTACATGTATAGTAGTCTTTGGCTTTACTTATTAAGGCACTTTTTTTAATCAACATATTTGAAAAATAGAAATAACAAAAAACGCAACAAAAAAAAATTCTATTGTCGTTCATAAACTAGAAACATATTTTAAAATTTCAGCTCAATATTTTTTTTCCTTTGAGTAATTTTTTGACTTAGGAGATCAGAGAGAAAAACAATTCTATTTTTAAGCTTTAAATTGCCATTTTTTTTTCAGGACATATGTATGGCAAATAATTTTGGCATGTTTCACAAAATCGTTTAAATATTACAATGTGAAGAATATGCAATTGTTACATGAGATTATATTAACCCTCCTCTGTATCCTGTCCTGGTCGGATAAAACACCATTCCTTGTGAAACTTGTTGTCTAGCTTGTAGCACTTAGGACTACAGTAACGGCGTATCTTGCACCCAACACATCGCTTGAAGGTAAAGTCCCAGTCTAGATGAACACAAGGAAAGTATCCACACTTAAGCATATACTTCTCTTCAGTAATTATGCTTACTTCTTTGGGCAAAGCTGTTAATTCACTTACATCCTTTATTCAAGGGTATATATTTATTTTAATTATAACTCCCCCACTAAACACACCATAACCCCTCAGCTTTGACTTCAGACTTGACTTCATACTTGACTAAAAATTTTGTAGAACATTAATTCATATTTAAATTTTTTAAGTTTCCTCCACCCCAACCCCACATTCTCTCACAGAAGAGAAATTCAAAGCTTCTCTAGCAGACATAACTGTAAAACAAATATCTAGAAAAAGGACTGAACTTGTTAAACTTTAATAATATACCCTTGCCTTATAAATGAGATCAACCGTCTGTTTACCCAGGATTTCCAAGAGGGCAGAGTAAACAGACCCGTAGTAATGAACAATTGGCCAGTATATGTTGGGATCCTTGGCCAGCTGTAGTGGGTGTAGATCCATGGGTTCCAGTGCCAGAAAACGGATGGTGAAAATAACCTCATGTTTACTGTAGTTCCTAAAGTTGTCCAGCCTTCTATTCAATCCAGACTCGAGGGTGAAGATAACACTATAAAATAGCTGAGCAAGAGTTTCATCTCGGCTCATTATATACTCCTTCCGGTAGACGCTTAATATTCTTTGCTTAGTAATATCTTCACACTCTTTACATAGGTTTCCACAAGATATTATGTCATGTTCGCAGGAATAATTTGGTAGATTCAAGCTTAGTCGGTCAAAATACTTATCATCTGAAGTTGCAAGCGCATCCATTCTTGATCCTAAGTTATTTTCAAGCTTTACAGGCTGTTGTATGAAAATAGAGTTTTCGATTCTACCCACTGCTAAATAGCCAGGTGTTTCATGGAATGTTTCAGAGCTAATCAATTCCAATCTGAGCTCTTTAGAACAAGATTTAACTTGCAAATAAGACTTGGCCAAGAGTGGGAACTCCATTGCCTCCATTGCCTCCTTAGTTATTCTAGATTTTGAGGAATCCAGGGATTTCAGTTTGAAAAGAATTAATCCTGCAATTCCGATCAAATGATATGTATCGCCAATTGATTTGAATGTATCAAGCTCCGTAAAGCAGATCCGGTTGAGAAACATGAGAGAGGTTTCAAAACTATCACTGCTGAGCATTAAGTTATCTTTAGCTTCTCTCTTATGGTTTAGGTTCAAATATAAAGCCCTACCAATTGCAGCAAAAGCTTCAACTGAGCCCTTTTCTGCAGCTATCTTGTAGTATTTAATTGCTTTCCTATCACTGAAAGGTCGACTTTTCTCAAACGGGGGACGAAGTGCCAGTTGACATATATCCCAATCACACACAAATCTTAGCTCATATGTTAAACCAATAATCAGAGCTGCTTTCCAATCCCCTCTTTCAGCCATCTTTTTCATCTCTGACCTTGACACACCTGCTGGAGAACTTATATACTCCCTCACCATGTTCAGAGTTTCAAGATTGTAGAATGATTTGATCCAAGTGTAGAACGAGTGTAAAGAATCTGAGGTCAGATTATTACCCCGAAGTGTACTTGCATTACACACTGTAACCAATTTCACGCACTGTTGACTGCAGTACCAATGAATTCCGCATTTGCAAACCAGTGCATGCTTGGTATTGGATATACTGTAGGTACATGCAACACACCTTGTATAGGTCTCTTTTAGATCTATTGTGTAGTTTTTGATTGGGTCTTGAGAGTTTTCCTTACAATGAGACGGGTATGTTTTCTCTTTCTCAGATGTTGTTAATCTTTGAGACAGGTATTCTTTCTTGCTACTGGACGGATCGGATACAAATATATTTCTTAAATTAGATTCTATATCAGAAGTTTTTTTGTTCTCTTTTCCATGGGAAAGCGGCATTGTTGTCTCAGTGCCAGGGACAGAAACAAACATCTTTCTCGAATGATTGTCAAGCTCTGATTGTTCTTTAGTATCCGACATATTTGACACCCTTTCTCTTCTCTACATAAAATACTATTAATTAATTATTAACTATTACTAAAAGTAAATAGTTACTAGGACATAGTCCTTATGTGGACAGGACCATATTGAACACTACATCCCATTCAACACTGTTATGGTTGGCAGGTCCTGGCTCTTTAAGGCTCACAACTGGTGTATTAAAAAACCGTTATTACAAGCATTCAACTCCTCAAAAACTTATCAGTTGGATTTTTAAATAAAAAATACAAAAATTAAGCCAGTTGGAGTTGTTAAAAAAAATTTACACAAGTAAGTGTCAGTTTCAGACCATATATCCTTTAACAAAGAAAAATGTGCAAGAAAAAATAACAACCTTTGACAAAGAAATTTTTCCATCATCTTTGTTAGAAAATTAAATTTATCGAGTTTCTGATATAAGAAAAAAAATACACATCTTTACCTTCACATAAATGTAAGCAAATTTAACATGAAACTTTGTCTCCAAAATAGGAAAAAATTATCTTTAAGTGTTATAAAACATTTAAATCATTAAGGGTCCAAGCAGGTTCTTTCTTTTAAGGCCAAAAGAGACATAAATATTGGAGATCAAGTTAAAAATGGTAACATTATGCAATGAGCATAGATTATAGCACTTTCAGGGTGGCCAAAACTTTTTTGAAAAAATCCGTACAAAAATCCGTAAATTTTCAGAAAAAATCCGTACAATCCGTACAATTTTCGAAAAAAAATCCGTACAATCCGTACAATTTGAGAAAAAAAATCCGTACAATCCGTACATTTTTTTTAACAAATCCGTACATTTTTTTAAAAATCCGTACAATCAGTAAAATTTTCCAAAAAAATCCCTACAATCCGTACATTTAAGAAAAATAAAACCATAATTGAAAATAGAACCAGAGAACCAGAGAACCAGAGAACTAGAGAACTAGAGAACTAAAGAGCGTTGATTTTAATTTTTAAAACTGTTTAGATCAGTGTGAATTAGGCCATTTAACAAACAAATGATTAAGTTATAATTAGAAAGAGTGGAGTGTAAATTTAGGATCTTATATAATTAAAATTAGCGTGGTGGGAGGTAGTACAGGGGTTGCACACCCAATTAAAAGAAAGTTAATATTAAACTAAAAATGAAAAGATTTACAGATAAACGGAAGAAACCTGAGAGGATGTTCTCAGTTCTGAAAAAGAGACAGATAGATAGATAGATAAACAGACAGACAGATAGATAGACCGATAAATAGACAGAGAAACAGATAGACACATATACATATTGATAAACAGAGAGACAGATAGGATATATAAACAGATAGATAAAAAGATAGATAAACTTACATGCAGATAGATAGATAGCTAGCCAGATAGCTAGACAGATAGCTATACAGATAGCTAGACAGATAGCTAGACAGATAGCTGGACAGATAGCTGGACAGATAGATAGAAAGATAGCTAGACAGATAGCTGGACAGATAGCTAGACAGATAGCTAGACAGATAGCTAGACAGATAGCTAGACAGATAGCTAGACAGATAGCTAGACAGATAGCTGGACAGATAGCTAGACAGATAGCTAGACAGATAGATAGAAAGATAGCTAGACAGATAGCTAGACAGATAGCTAGACAGATAGCTAGACAGATAGCTAAAAAGATAGACAGATAGATATTCATATTCTCAATTGAACACTTCTAGGACACATCTCGAAAATTATGAATGAATTTTAATTGTCAATTGAAACATCAATCTAATATTATTAAGAATGCAGAAAATAAGTTAAACTAACTTCATTTTGACGAGAATTTTTTTTTAAATTTTCATGAAAAATTTGCCGAAATGAGTGAAAATTAAAAAAAAACCGGTATATTTCCAGGATAAAAATTCGTACAATCCGTGTAAGATCTACGGATCTTTTCTTAAATCTTGATGTTCAGGTTGAATCCAGAAATCGTGATCTAAAGAAGCACATGAAGATCTTCTCATCCAACTCTACACTTGTTCCTACTATTATATACATAAATATTTATTCAAAATTATATATAAGATTTTATCTGAGAATTTAACTAAAGTTTTATGTTAAATGTATTTTTCTGGCCTAAAGTTTTAGATCTTCAAGCTTAACAAGCTTTTTTATAACGTCTAAGTTTATGATTTGAGAGCCTATAAAAACAAAATTATATTAATGGTCTAT